ATACTATGATACAACCAATGCATTGGATCATTGCTAATATTTATATGAGTAAGTTTGCAATGTTGTACAGTTCATATTAAATAGGGAGTGCAGATTTAGCATATCTTTTAAGATGATTGTTTTAGGCTCTATATAAACTTTTTCTTTTTAAAAATGATTTTATCTTTTAAGATAGTTTTAAATCTACACTCTTAAAATAAAAAGAATAAAAAGAATAAAAAGGACGGAAATATATTCTTGCAACATTATTTATACTGGTAAAGTTGCAATGTCATATAAATTTTTACCTTATTTCATTGAGTGGGAGTTAATGACAAGAAAGATCTTACTAGAAAATGTTTTTGCAAAAATTTCGTCAGATACAACGACATATTATGTGTCCACCACTGTTGTCATGGCAAAAAAATACAATGATTTTTTACGAGTATAAATTGAAAAAACAACAACAACACAAATATAACAATTTCACTAACAAATAAAAATGACAATAATTTGAGGTATAAGAATGTTGTTAGCAAAAAATGGAAAATTAAAAATAAAATAAAAAAGGACAATAATCCGAAGTATAAGGTTGTTGAGCCAGAAAAAAAAAAGAAAAAAAGGAGGAAAGCAAAAAGGAAAATGAAACCACGATATGATTCCTTTTAGCAAAACATAAATATTCCAAAAAGTAAAACAATGGTCGATCCAAATTATCATTCTATGGATAAAAAATTCCAAAAGACAGGGATGAAATTTTGTCAAACTTTGAGCAAGCAAAATAATAGAAAGCTTACTTGCATTAAGCAATCGGCACAAGAGAACTCAAATATTAAAAAAACAAGCATTGCCAATTTGCAGACACCCATATCTTCAGTTGTCATTGAATCACTCTCTGCCTCTCTAAAATTCTCCTTTTTTGGTTTAGCCAAAAAGAAGAAGCGGCTCATCCACTATCATTACTCTTTTTATTGGGGAATATGATTGTCTTTAGTATATGCGAAACATAGACAACAAATTAAAGGCACATTATGACAATGTCTAGTGGGCAAAACCAATTCTTGCAATGGTGATTAAGGAAAAGTAGCCAAAAATACTCACCCATGCCGCTATTTTGATAATTAAGGACCAAGGATAAAGACCTAAGCGCTCTACTCTTTTTTATTTGGGAGATGATCGCGCCACCCCTTGAGGTGCAACAAGAAGACCTCCTTGAGATAATATGAGGACCATTCACACATTGCTCCCACATAAGTGGGATGTGGGATAAAGATTTAATGAAAAGACCGATCTTGAGGGAAGACGAATCAGTCCAAGAGTCACAAACGAACCCCTTAGAGTTGATCCGGGTTCAACTTCTCACAATGCAATTAACCCCAACCAGAAATCACTCCAGAAGAGGCTCAATGAAGAGGTAAAATGAGAGAGAGGACTAACCTTCCAACGCAAGCCCAGGACTTCTATAATGAAAAAGGGCCCCCAAAAGACCTCCAGAAAATCCTACATTTAGGAACCCAAATTTTACAATAAATTACGGTAGCCCTTTTGCTTTCCGATCTTCATCAGATGCTTGAGAGTGTATATGGAATTTTGGTATGAAGCTGAAGCTCTAAACAATCAAAATAAAGCGCATATTCAAGTGGTGTCGAGAAATGTTGTTTTGGAAATCTATGTAAATGTAAAAATATATTTTCATCTCTTGTTACAAATTTTAAAGCTTAAAAAATAGTGTAGATTCTGTAGATATATGAAAATTTGAAAATCTTGAAAATTGACTGTCCAAAAAGGCATTTTACAAGATGCATTATTTTCAAAACTCGAAATTCATTTTTTCTCATGTCTATGCATTTTGAGATCGAGATGATCAATTTGAGGAAATTTGGGCATCCAAACATCCTCTTCTCATGAAATTTTTGAGGTGCACCCTATTTTGATTGTTTAGAGCCTCACACTCGTATAAACTTTTTGTTTTTCTAAAGGACGCAGTTAACATGCGGCCAAACCCGTACATGTAGAAATGCGGGCTTGACAATAAATATATTTTTGAAATATAATTCATTCCTAATTTTTAGAGAATATATAATCTTTAACATGGAGATCATGAATATAAAAAAACAAATAAATTGTGAAAACTAGAAATAATAATAATAAAACATTTGGACCGTCAGTTGCAATTGATTTTAGATAACCAGAACTATAGATGCCCATAAAAAATCTATCAAAAAAAGTAGTTTTAATGTTGAAAAACCCTTTGGTTGAACATCTCGATATATGATTTGAAAAATAAAAAGATTTTAAGTCTAAAAAATAATACATTTTACAACATATTATCTACACCGTCCATTTTCAAGATTTTTATAGGTTTATAGATCGACTTGATTTTAACTATTTTTAAAATTTAAAATTTTATAATTAAATATAAAAATAAATTTTGAGAGAACCCTAAAAAACATTTTACATAAAAAAATATATACCATGATAAAATTTTGAAAAATTTTGAAGCGCACCTTACCTCCACACCTACGGAGGCGTCCGTATGCAAACTGCACCCTGTAAATATGCTTTCTAAGTACTTTACTTTACTTTACTTTCTGGTGAGAGAAGAGAGGGCAACGAAGGTGATGATGATGGGATCCAAGAGACAGAGATCGGTCCGCCCACGAAGTCGTCTATGACGTCAACAAAGAGAGAATAATAGAAAAAAGAAAACCAGAGCACCACATAGAAGACGCAGATCTTGGCATTTACATGGGGAACCGGTCCTTCGCCTCTGAACCCCACTTGCTGGCACTCTTCCAATTTTCTTTGCTCATTACCTTCTATCTCTCTGCCTTTCTCTGGGCCACATCGAGTGACTGATGCAGGTAAGTGCTTCTTTTTCGCCTCAGTTTTTAAAGAGCACCAGGGCTGGGGTTGCTTTGCTTTTTCTTCTTCTTCGGCTGGGTTTGCACAATGGTTAGGGTTTGATGATCCATAAATTTTTCATATCCAATTTTTTTATAGCATGTATCGTATTTTAATTTTGATTTTTCTCCAAAATTGGATCAACTTCAAATTTTGGGTATCCATACACAATTGTAAAAAAGCAAAACTAAAACTTCTCATTAAATAAAGTGTTATGACTAAACTTACCTAAGCCCCTAAAATTTGCATGGATAATTTGGTAATTTCATTTATAGTGGCATATAGAAGTTTGAGGTTCAAAAACTTATTGTAATTTTTTTGAATGACAAATGAGAGATGCATTAATTGAGGAAAAATTGCAATGAAACAAAGAAACCCCAATAAATATCACCTTTTGAGCCTTAAACTCCAATAAAGAATCAAAGGACATAGACATGCTCAAAGGAAAGCTCCAAACCTCCCCACAAATGCCATGTATCTATGCGAAAATTGATCCCAAATTCCATGGAATTCTTTGCACCTTCCTGTTATTAAGAAAGTCACCTTCACCAGACAATATATCAACTCCCCCCTGCTCAAAGATCTAGCCTCTGCCTCACTAGCAGTAGCAACACCATAAGGTCCTGAGAATGATACTTTGATAACACCCAAATGGTCTTTCAATCAAACCACCAATCCCTGTTATTCTTCGATTTCAAAAAGAACTACTATCAAAAATAATTTTAAAGGAATCATGTGAAGGAGGTGAACAATCATCCTTGTTTCAATAAAACTTGAATTCATCTAAACTTTTAGGGAAAATTACATACATTTATCCATTATACTTTGCGTTAGTACGGATGTTCCAAATAGTTTCCGTTATTACATGTATGTCCATTTTTTATCTTTTATAATGTAAATTTAAAAAAAAAACAACTTTATCCTTTTTCGGGTGTTGAACAATCGAATTGAAGGGTTTTTTGGATGTTCAACATCAAAAAATGTGACTACGATACTATAATCTTCTTGAGTACGGACAAGAAGAGAGGGTTTTTTATTTACTTTAGCCATATGGATGTACGGGACTAATGCTTCCCGTTTAGCCTCAGGATCAGTTATTTTATCTATTATATCGATAGTTAGATTTTTTTTCTTTTGAGAGTGTATTACAAAAGCAATTAGTATTATCATTTTTTGAGTCCGAACTGCTGAGAATTAAATCCTCATTTTCTATTTCTCCAGCCAGGATTTCTATATCAGAACTAGAAGAATTATACGAAGATTCTTCATTTATTTGTAATATATGAAATAGTTGATTTCTAATAGTATCATCTAATTGTAAGGCATCTATTCTCTTTTTTATTCTACATTTATTCTTGTAATGTCCTACCTTGCCACAATTATAGCAAACATGTATTCTTCTTTTTCCCCTGGTTTTTTTTAAACTACTTTTGGGGGAAAATTTCCTAGAAAACTTTTCTTTGGTAGCAGCTTCTGTATTTTCTCTTATCAGAACCTTTGGATGCAGGCAGAGTATTGAATCCAAACTGTTCACAAAAATCTCCTAGTTCTTTCTTTCCGGTCATCTTTTGTTTCTCCAGCTGCCTTTTTAGTTTTAGATCCATACAGAGAGCAATGCCTTCTGCACAAATTTCTGCTGATAACTCTCCTAGTGTGTATAAAGAACATGGGATTATTCCTCCATGTTTATTCTTTAGCCGCGTTTAACTTTCTCGACGAAAAGATGGGGTAAACCGGCAATGAACTTTTCTTTCCAGTTATTCGATTTACTGTCTTCTCTAGAGAGGAGTCTAGAGAAGAACACATCTTTATACCACTTATAATAGGATAGTGTTGGGTATGTAAGATTAGAAAAAAGGTCTTCTGATCTAGCATTGATTAACGCAGTACTTCCTATAAAGTGAAGAGTAATAGTATATATTAGAGTATTAACTGCATCACTTTCATTATTTACTATGTCTTGGCCATATTCATTTTTTACTACCCATTGCCTTGTAGTAGCTAGTATTTCTTTTTTTGTATTTTTTTCTATATGAAAATCCCACCATCCTCTTAGCCATCCTGTAAATTCGTAAATAATAGCTTTGGCTATTTTTTGGTCATGATTTCCACTTATTTTGCACGTTGTTGCATACATAGTCATATGCTTCATTGAATCAAGTATTTGATTTTCAGACATTCCGTCGATATTCCAATTTACAATTGTTCTTCCTGAATATGATACAGTACTAGTAATTAGGTCTTTTTCAAACTGGATGTCAACAGGAGTTGGTATTGGATAATACATTCTAGTTTGGGAAGTTCGTCTTACCTTTCTCCCGTAATCTATTCTATCTATTTCAAGGTTTTCTGTTTTAAAAGCTTATTCTATTTATTGGATCTCACTATTAGATAGAGTTTCTTTCTGGAAAAAGCACATCAGGAAAAGTTCTTCTCCCTGGAGTTGCTCAGCATTTTATGTGGAAAAAGCTTCTGAAATAGAAAGAGGAGCTCCTCGTTCAGTAATAAACTACAAACCACTTAATAAAGCTTTAAGATGGGTCAGGTACCCTATCCCTAATAAAAAAAGACCTGCTTGATAGACTAGTAAATGCCTGTATTTTTTCTAAATTCGATCTAAAGTCTGGATATTGGCAGATCCAAATTGCTGAAAAAGACAAATATAAGACTGCCTTCAATGTCCCTTTTGGGCAATATGATTGGAACGTAATGCCTTTTGGTCTTAAAAACGCTTATTCAGAATTCCAGAACATTATGAATGATATTTTCAACCCTTATACAAAATTTATGATTGTTTATATTGATGATGTTTTAATATTTTCCGAAAGTATTGAACAGCATTTTAAGCACTTAAATATTTTTGTTAAAGCAATAAAAACTGCAGGACTGGTTGTCTCAGCCAAAAAAATTAGTCTTTGCCAAACAAGAATAAGATTTTTAAGACACAATATCTTTGAAGGTAGCATAGTCCCGATCGATAGGGCTATTGAATTTTCAAATAAATTTCCAGACATTATTACAAATAAAGTTAAACTTCAAAGGTTTTTAGGTTGCCTAAATTATATAGCTGATTTTTATGAAAACCTAGCCAGAGATGCTAAACCATTATTTCAAAAACTTCGAAAAACTCCACCTGAATGAATGGATATTCATACAGTAAGGAAAATAAAGTTAAAAGCCAAGAAATTACATTGTCTTGCACTTTCTAACCCTGCTGCTTTTAAAATAATTGAATGTGATGCTTCAGATATAGGAATGAAAGGAATCCTAAAACAAAAAATTAATAATACTGAACAATTGGTACGATTCACTTCTAAAGTTTGGAATCCAACACAGCAAAATTATTCAACAATTAAAAAAAAACTTCTTGCTATTGTTCATTGTGTTATTAAATTTCAAAGTGATCTGCTCAATCAAAAATTCCTTGTCCGAACTGATTATAAAGCAACTCAAGATATTCTTCAAAAAGATGTCAAAAACTTAGTTTTCAAACAAATTTTTGCTCGATGGCAATGTATCCTCTCTTCATTCGAATTTGAAAGGTAATACTAATTATCTTCCTGATTTTTTAACTTGTGAATTTTTACAGGGGGGACAGGCCTACCAAACAAGGGAAAGGAAAAAATGGAAATAGTTCCTGTACCAGGCAAGGCTCTGGCAACTTCGCCAATAACCCCAAACCAACTAGCTAGAAAACAGGCACAGGAAATAACATTCTCACCTGAATCAATACCAATAGCTACTAGCTCAGGCGGAGAAAAAAACAAATTTTTAGAAACCTCTTTTATATCTACTATTATAATAGAGGATATTCATAAAGATAACGACCCATATGAAATAGCAACTATTTATTTAAACAATCACCTACACCCATCCAATAATGATAAAACCCGAGAATGGTATGAAGCCATCCTCCTTGAAACAGAGTCAATTATATTGGTCCACTACCTTAGAATGAATACTAACATAATAGCATACTCAAAATTCCAAATATATAAAATAATATCATATAAGGAATGGGGTATGGACCTGTCAAAACCCAGGAAATTGCAAAGAGAAGGGTTTAATAATAAATATTTTCAATATTCTGAATATATCGAAGCCTGGCATAATGTCTTTGCCTTTCAAAATAATAATAATTCTCATAAGTGGTTAATCCAAATAAAAATACCAATCAAAGGAGAATTCCCGAATTGGTTCAAAAATTGGTTCCAATTATGGGGATCAAGAACTGAAATATTACCACCAAATATTCAAACTTCGCAAAGGAAGTTTATTGACTATAATAATAGTGATACCAGAATAGATCTACATATGTATTTTATGGTTTTATATCAAATACCATGGATTATGAAATGGTCCTACCAAATATCAGATGATTATACAAACAATTGGGAATATATCCCAAAATTGGGTAGGCAAGTGTATATAAAGTGGTGGGATGTTTATGAAAATAAATCCCTTGATCCAGAAAGCATAAAAATAAAGAGGGTGCCATTTTCACCCCTGGAAGCAGGAATTAGTATGACTGATTATATAAATAAGATGCGCCAGTAGAACCCTATGGCCACAAAAGAGGAACTTAAATAGAAATTGTTACAAATCTTCAATGAAGAAGAGGAGGCTATGTCTACATCTACGCAAAACGAAGAAGATTACGCATAAGAGAATGAAGACATCAAGTTCGGGCTATCTCAAAGATGATTCGAGCCAAACTAGGGACGGAGTGACTGCAAACCAAAAGCACACGAGTCCCGACAAAAGTTACTGGCACCTTTTTGTCTCTTCACCCTTTCACTTTTCACTGTTCATACCTTTTGTCATATCACCGACGCCTTTTTGGCTTGTCACCCTTTACTTTTTCCTTGCTCACGCTTTCTATCTCATCACTGACACCTTTGGGGTCTTATCAGCCAGCGGACTTGAACTAAATATTAGACGTCCGCCAACTATAAAAGGGGAGGGTAGGAGCTCATTGGGTACCGAGAGTTTCTCCCTCAGTCTCTAGTCCTCTACCTCTATGCAACCAACCCCTCTACAACCTACCTCTCTGCAACCTACCTCTTTGCAATTTTCTTTCTATTTACTGTATATCTGGTGGTGTATCTAGCCAACCAGATCTTGTTTTTAAGAGTGATTTTTAGAGCAATTTATGTGATTGTAACCATATATGCTTCATGATTGTCAAGTTGCCATCAGGGACTATACCCAAATTGTCTTCTATATATTGTCAAGTTGCCATCAGGGACTAATACCCAAATTGTGACATTTTTGGATGCTGAACATCCGAAAATGGTTTCAGATGTTGGACATCCAAAAATGTGATAGCGAAATTTCAGAAGGTTTATGGACTTTTGTAGTCATATTTTCGGATGTTGAACATTCGAAAATGGGAATGTGAACGTTAATGAAAAAAAGTAAAGCCATTTTTTTAAAAAAAATTACGTTATAAAAGGTAAAAAACGGACAGACTTGTAATAACGGAAACTATTTGGTACATCCGTAATAACGTAAAGTACCACGAATATGTAAGTAATTTTTCCAAACTTTTAAGTTACACAATAAATGAGAGCAAAGTACACCAAAGTAAGTATCAAAGCCAAGGTTTAAGAAAATAAATATGTGACTTAGATTGGCCACCCCAAAAACTGTGTTGGATTGGTGGATCGACGATCCGGATCAGCCAGTTTCAACCTTATTTATAGTTTTAATTTATTCTTGTTTCCATTAATTTTAGAAAAAAAGAGATATAACATCCATGGTCTATAGATTTATCACCATCCAATCATATGGTTGGACCAGATGAAGAGGAGTTTAGAAATTGCAATCCATTAATTGAGACCCAATCCCCCTACATCACCATATTTTATATGATTTCTTGCCGAAGGATCAGCAGCAAAAGATTTGGAAATGGGAGCTCAAGTTGAAGAGGGCCAACATGGGAGCCGATGATGTTGTGAAGTTGCATCTCATCACCGACAATAGGAGTATTAATTATTTAGGATATGTTTGATTGGTGGAAATTTTTGGGAATCGGAAACCCAATATATATAAAAAAAGCTAAGAAACATTTGGCAACTATAATAAATAGTAATATAAGCCGCATTCTAACCGTCAGATCTTTATCAAGTGGTTCAAAATATATATCATTATTTTAATTTTAAATTTATTTTATAAATCTGATTAAGATGAAATTTTGGATGTATATACCTAACACTATTGCCCACCATATATATATAAAAAGAAGTGTTATGGGTGATCAATGTAAACCACACACAAACAAAAAAAAAGAAAAAAAAAGAGAAGAAGAAGTTGTTTGGGCGGTTAAAAAAAGTTTTATGGTTTGAAGGTCCAACTTTCAAACTGTGCATCACATATTTTTATTTGTAAAACCCATAACACATTGTTAGGCCCGATCGGCCTACACTTGGGGCTGTTTGAAATTTGGATCTCAGAACAGTAAGCAGTTTGAAAGCAGCAAATCCGAACTGCCCATACTAAGTGGTTTTGTGTTTAGAGCAATTCAAAAGTTAAACATTCGATCTGGAGCAAAATTTAAAAAAAAAACTCAAAAACTTTAAGCTCCACCTTAAGAATGTCCCAAAATAGAAACCATTTTTAATTCTGTAAAATATTATGTGTCCATACTTAAATTTCCCAGAAAAAACAATGCTCTAACCGGGTGAGCGAGAGAACATGTGAAAGCTCTACCTTAAGAGTATTTGGGCCATACTGATTGATCTGAGCAATGATTCCATTAAGATTGTTGAAAAGTGTGTTTCAAGCTTACCAAGCCAAGTGGCAACAAGCACTATCATACGGCCCTAGTCAGGCCTCTAGGCCGCACCAGATGTATGGTTGCAAATGCTGATAGGGATAACTCCATCAAAATGCTGATACAACATCTAATAGGATATAAAAATAAGAATTACATACTATAAGATCAATTTCCTTTTGTAAAGTGTTGACAATTATTCTAGATAATCACATGTCAAATCCTTAAGCTTCTGAAGTGTTGCAAAGATCAATAAATTTCTTTTTGAATCATGAGATTTGTCAATGGCACATCCCCAAAACGCTGGATTTTAAATCCAATCGTCACTGGCAATTGAGACCTTTTTGTACTAAAGATAAATTGTCTTATTCAAGACATTTTTCCTATAAAATAAGCCTAAGTTCTTGAAGGGTAGTTTCATTGAAAATACCAATCTCAGCGAAATCAAGGAATCGAAACAGAGAACATCTAAAGAAACTTGGTGTGAACATTTAGTAAAACTTGATGGAAATTTGGTTGTTATATCACTGCAAGAGAGATAATCGACCAATCACTCCTGAAATAGAGTCACAAAGAGAGTTGATTGTTAGGTGGAATTTTGATGGGAAGAAAGACCAACAATGTGAGGACTTATGCTTCCCTTCAATTTTAAAGCCAGTGAGTTTCGAACTTGTCACCTTCTCCTTCCGCAATTAGTCAAACCACTCTTGTCTTGTGAAAACACAAACCGTGTGCAATTGAGATGCAAATTGTTATCCTTGTTGTCACAGTAGCTCAAAACATATCAAATTTGCCGGTTTGAGTTTGGCTATGTTCCAATTTGGAAGTTTTAGCCTCCTAGAAGCCTAGAATCCCATTACAATTTCACTTGGAATTTAACCCAAAAGAAACACAGGTTTCAATTAACGACTCGTTAATTTTTTTAGTGCGCATAGCATGTTCCTGAAGGCGCATAATATATTCTCATGCGCAAAAGTGCCACTTGGGAACTATCTAATAATCCGTAGATCAAATATTCTTAAAAAGAAACAACATTGGATTTTAAGTTCTCCAAGACGTAGATCCCGCACTCTTGGGATTGGATGGACTCTATTCAATGTTGAAGCATTATCATTTTCAAATGCGATTTGAACATTTCTTTATTATTAATATTAGTCTATGGGTTGGAGATATTACATTCCTAAATTGGGTTGGAGAGATTACATCTTCAAAATTTGAGATCCTAAAAGTATTCCTAAACTCGTAGTTTTACCCGACTAAATGAGCAGCGTACTGCCAGGGGGAGTATGAACTCTTTTGGCTGACATAACAAGGCGATCGCAACAAGTAATGTGATGCTTGGCTGATTGTTATATGTTTGAATTCAATTTTAGGTATTTTCTAGTAGAAGGTTTTGCATGATTTTGAATATTTATTTTCTTATCGAGGTTTCCTCCCATACTCGAGCAGATTTTTTATTATTTTTTTAAATTTAAATTGTTTGATTTATAAAGTCTCAGACTTCATTCTCACCAAAAGGATAGAGGTCCAAATCTGAAGTGACTTACCCTTAACTTACCAAAAAAAAAAAAGTCGTTTGATTTCTAAGTCATTTGGATCCACTCATCATAAGAAGACAAAGGCTGGCCATTAACAATGCACATGCGTACATGTTGGGTTTCATTGTTGGAGAAGACTTAAAAAGAAGCCTTCAAATTATTGGCAAAATTGTGGTATTCATTAGTATAAATTTTGACACTAAAATTAGATTTAAGCAAACTAGTGCAACCAATGTTTCCTTTTTCTTTTTCTATTTTTCCTTGTTTGGTTGTTAAGGATGGGACGCCAAACGGCTCTTTTGGCATTCCTAAAAGGAAAAAGTTTATATAGAGCCGAGGCTCTAAACAATCAAATTAGAGCACACCTCAAAAATTTCACTAGACGAGGTTGTTTTGATGCGTAAATATCCTCAAATTGATCATCTCGACATCTAGATATATGGACATGAGAAAAAATAGATTTCAAATTTTGGAAATAGTGCATCTTGTAACTCATTTTTAGCCAGTCAATTTTCAAGATTTTCAAGTTTTCATAGATCTACTTGATTTACACTATTTTTGAGGTTTTAAATTTCATAATTAAAGATGAAAATATATTTCAAGGCTATCATAAAAGATTTTCAGCATTGAAACCACATTTATCGATACTATGTGAAGGTGCGCTTTATTTTGATTGTTTAGAGCCTCAGCTCTATACAAACCGCACCAAGGATCATATTTCTACATTTGCAGTCCCCGAGGTATAAAGATGGAAACTAACGGTCCATATATTTTTTAATAGAATTGTTATTTTTAATTTTAGAAATTGTATTTATTTTTTCTCATTCATAATTTCCATGTTAGATATTACATGTCCTTAAAAATTAAGTCCAAAAATCCATCTCAAAAATGGATTTTTAAGAGGTGATTCATTTCTACATGGACTCATAGAAACCGTGTCCTTGAAAAAATATTTATATTTGGGACATTTTATGGTGAGTTCTAAGATTTCTAAGCTTTTTATTTCTATTTTATCCTATTTTGAAAAGGATTGACATCCAAGGTAATTTCGAACCTTGAGCTTTTAAATTACCCCGTGGCGCTTATCTTCTCAATATTGGGAGAAGTTCCAACTTGGGCTTATTGTTGGCGAATTTTGGCCATGGGTATAGAGTATTTCTTTAAGGTTTATTGTAAGCCTAAGTTTTAGATGATTCAAACATTTATTTATTTGAAAATGCATTTTATGCGACACGAGTCCCAACCATAGGCAGGATTATGGAATACCAAGGGCCAGTAGTATAATAATCCATGTTTATGGGTGCAATTAAAGACGAAAGAAACAATGGTTCCACTGAAATTACTACTCCATAATTTTTTCAGTGTGTATAGCATGCTTCTAGTGGCACATACTGTACAATAAGTCTCTCAGACAAAAAAGAAGATTCTTTTCATATAAAATTTTGGGATCTACCTAAGGATTACCAGATGATTACTTTCATTTTAAAAAAAGAATTTTTTTTGTTGAGTTCTTGAACATTTAGATATAGCCCTCAAAAAATTGGCGGCCTTTATCAATGTTAGGTCAGTAGTTTTTTCAAGCACATAGTATATTCCATTTGAATATTTTTTTTTTTCTTTTTTATGAGTTTGATCGCCAGGTTCAAGAGGCGTGATCTCTAAAATTTAAAGTCGTAAAAGTGCTATAGAATGGGTTTTACTCGTGGAAGCAATTAGATAGTATGCTCCCGCCGGAGCAGAAAATCCTTCCAAATTTTATGAAAGTGAGTTTGGAAACACCGTTGAATGGCACGTTACATATTGGGAGGACATTAATGGTTTCTGATATCCCCAAAGTGAAGAGACAAGTCATGTCTCTTCACTAAAGAAATTCCACATTGCTTGTCTGTAATTTTCCACTATGGAGTGGAGTGGACCCATTGACTGACTTTGAGGAAAGTGAAACCCATAGAGCTCCACAGTACTGGTTGTAACCATGTATAAAAAATCCCAGGATTCAAGCATTTGAGGCCACACCTACCCAAAAGAAAAGAAACAATAGATTAAGAGAGAGATCATGGAGTTTGGCTTTGTATTGAGATCACAGAGTGTTTTTCTTATGGCCATGCTCACTGTGTGCTGCGTGGAAGCAGTTGCTTTGGAGGCACCATCCACCACCTTCAATCTTTCAACTGATCAATACTCTCTATACCAGTTTAAGAGAGAGATAAGCTATGATTCATATGGGATGTTGGCCTCGTGGACCGAGCGTGTTCATGTGTGCGATTGGCGAGGAGTTACATGCAACGTTCAAAAGGAGAGAGTAGTAGCACTGGATCTTAGTTATTGTTCCTTGGGTGGCACCATCAGTCCCTTCTCTCTTACCTCCCTCAGCCTCCATATTAACATCATCCATGGAAACATCCCTGAGGAGATTGGAACACTTGTGAGGTTGGATTCGGGAGGAAACAACTTAAGTGGGAGTATTCCTGCCGCATTTAGATGACTGCGGCGCTTAAAAGACTTGGATTTGTCATGGAACCTTTTGTCTGGTAGAATCCCATCGAGTTTCGGAAATTGCACCAGTCTTTTGATTCTCAGCATCTTTAGAAACAAGATGATTGGAGCCTTGCCCATGGAAATAGGTAATTTACTATCTTTCATATAATAATTTACAAGGAAACATCCCACCTTCTCTTGGAAACCTTTCATCTCTACAGTGGCTTGCCCTCTCTTATAACTCTCTGATGGGGGACATACCCAAAGAGTTGAGCCATTTGAAGAGACTTGAGAATTTGTGGCTCACTGCAAATAATTTAAAGTGGTAGTATCCACCCCTCCATTTACAACTTGTCCTCACTAATTTGCTTTGATGCATCTCATAATAGTCTAGTTGGAAGCATTCCTCCAGAGATTGGAGAGCTTGTGAACTTGACCTACTTACGATTGGATTACAACTACTCAAGTGGAAGCATAACCTCAACAATGGGGCCACTTAATGCTTTGGATTATTTAGATTTGTCAGTAAACAGATTATATGGTGCAATCCCATCGAGTTTAGGAAATTGTTCCAATCTATTTTACTTGTTCCTCTCCCAAAACCAGATTAATGGAACTATACCTGCTTCGCTTCTTGCCATCCCACTCCTAACTATTGACCTATCTGATAACAATCTTTCGGGAATTATTCCAGATTCATTTAAGAACCAGAGGCATATCCAAGAAGTTAACATCTCTAGGAATCACCTTTTAGGAAAGATACCAAAATATTTACAATACTTTCAAGCTCTAAGATGGTTAAATCTATCAAATTCAAAGGATAGATTCCGGAAGAAGGGATATTCTTTACAATTTTTTCACTTAGATCTCCAAGGAAACAACAAGCTCTGTGGTGGACCGAGGAATTTGAACTTCACTGCTTGCCCCACACGAGAGACATAAAGCACCAAGAATATTCATTCTAGCCCTTATCTTGCCCATCCTAGCAAATTACATTTTCGGTAACTTTCATCTTGATTCGAAGTAAGAAACTGGGGAACAAAGTACTGGGAAAAAAAGTGCCTTTCAAAATAGAATACAAAAAAGTCGCTTACCAAGAATTATTTTTCCCCACCAATGGTTATGATTCAACAAACTTGATCGGTATCGACAGTTTTGGCTCAGTTTATAAGGGAACTCTTAGCGATGGGATGGCTATTGCAGTAAAGGTTCTCCACCTAAAGCATCATAGAGATTTCAAGAGTTTCATAGCCGAATGCAAAGCTCTTAGTGAAATTCGACAGCGAGACCTCATCAAGCTAGTCACATGTTGTATTACCCATGGTGCTCAAGGTAATGACTTCAAAGCCTTAATATTAGAGTACATGTGCATTGGAAGCTTGAACAAGTGGGTCCACCCACTAAGTCATTTGGTTATGGCCAACGAGGATCAAAATCGCCAATTGAGCTTGAATCTCTTGCAAAGATTAGACATTGCGATTGATGTAGCATATGCTGTGGAGTATCTACACCATAATTGTCCAACACCTATTGTGCATTGTGATTTGAAATCCAGTTTTCTTGATGAAGACATGACTGCACATGTTGGTGACTTTGGTCTGGCTAGAATCCTTTCACCAGCATCAGAACAACAGAGTAGCACACTTGGACTCAAAGGATCAATTGGTTACATCGCCCCAGGTATCAAAAACCGGTGCTATAAAACTCACTCGAGTCCACTAGGACTCAGACGAGCACTATGGGCGAGGCTGAGTTACTCCAAGTTGTGTGTACAATGCGGGTCACATAAAAAATAAAAATAATACAAAAATAGAAAAAACTTAGGAATCTTATATAAAAATTTTGCATATGATTTGGATGTCTTCTTGCAAAGATTCCTGAGTATTTTTTGCCATAATCCCAATTTTTATATTTGTTTTTTATGAAGTTTTCAAAATATCGCCAACTAGAAATCAATTTTTGTTAAATCTATTTTTTATTACTTTTTAAGATCATTTTGCATTTTTTGGTTGCTTTTGGCTTTATTTTACTTTTCCTACCTTTATCGTATTTTTTATTTTTTAAAATTTATCTAGGGCTTTGGGCCTAGTACAGGACTCTAGTTTGAGCATTCGGACTCGTCCAAGTAACTTGCCTCGGCCAAGACGTGTTTCTAAACCTTGTTAACGACATTGCTTTCAATGTCACCAAAGCTATGTTTTTTTACTAAAATTAATGTGCGTGACATTATACTTACAAGTTTTTATTTTTGTGTAGTTTCTTTTCTATGTTTGTTGAAGATGATTGTTTTAGTGATAATGTTGTTATTGCAAAGTATGGTTTTGGTGTTAAAGCATCGATCAAGGGAAATGTCTATAGCTTTGGGATTCTATTGTTGGAGTTGTTCACTGGAAAGAAGCCCACTGATGATATATTCACAAATAGAACAAATCATTGTGAATTTGTAAAGAGAGCATATCCTCATCGAGTGATAGAAATTGTTGATAAAAGACTATTAGATGCTGGTGGTACAAACGGGGGACTAGAGAGGCTATATGAAATGCAACCATGTTTGGTGGCCATCCTGGGTATTGGGCTTTCTTGTTCATTAGAATCACCAAAGGAGAGGATGGACATGAGAGGGGTCCTAACAAATTTGCAGGACATAAAATATGAGGTATTAAAGTTTGATGCAAAAAGAGAAAGAGCAATATTATGCGATATACCCAGCAGTTCAAACACTGTATACATCTTGTTACTCATCCCATTGTATAAACATGTGCATCTCTCTCTCTCTCTATAAGGTTCAGGTTTTTGGGACAACTTGTGGAGTGCCATTCTTTCTTGGAATTCAACTTTGATTCTTTTGAATGGCCTGCATTTCATATTAGATTTTACATGTAATGATATTGTAGAGGTAATTTGTGGCGTTCATAACTTAGGTCTCATTTTGGTTGTATATGTGCTATGCCATATAAATCTTGTAATACATGTGGGTGAGTTTCTTATTTATATATGCTCCATTTTCGTGGTTGGTATTTGGTGGTTTAATTATGGCATTTGCAAATCGTGTAGAATTGAGTTAAAGCCTCGTACCTCTCTGTCAATGGTCGTGTTACAAAAGAAATGCTTAAGTGATGCAATAAGACCTTATGCTTTTTTAAAATTTTAAGAATGTTATCAAAATCCAAAAAATATAGGAGATAAGTCGCTTAATTTTTTTTGACCAATATAGAGAATGCCATGGGGCCCAGATAAGCAAAATAATAAAAGTGTTTTTACTTCCAATAGGAACCCTCGCTGATTTTGCCCCTCGTTTTTCTTTTTTATCGGGGTTTCCAACTAGTCAAGATCATAACTGTGATGTACTTATTTCAAAGAGTACGCATTGATTGTGCTCCCTTAGAAGCATACTATACATTAACTCCCTTGTGCAAAACACCAAATATTTAAGGAAAACAAAAACAAAATCTTGTCCTTGGATCACATACCCTATCAAAATTCTAGACAAGTTTGTGAAATGAATTCTTGTTCCGGCAAGAACATACTGTCCATGACATCTTGAGTTGCATTTCTAATAGAGTTGCCTTTCTAATAGAGATGAGACTCTTTTCTTTATTATAGAAGTTCTCTTAAAAAATCTAACAAAAAAGAGTATTCCGAAGTTCAAAAAACTTTTCCTAATAATCATCTCAAACCTCAAAATGTGTATATATAAATCATCTCGGCAAGTCCTAAAAATGGCAAGAACTAAGTATTGAAAAATTTAAAACTAATTTTTGTCATCTTATAATCATTTGATAATTCTCAGATGAATCCCAAAACATCAAATAGAAATTTCTCCAAAGTAGCGTTGTTTCCTGAAAGAGAGTGTACAATACGCTAGTATGCTTCACTGAAATATATGCTATACATCACACACTACACATATTTTCTGAAAATACAAAACAAATGCTTTGTCCCAATACAATTTCTTATCGGGCACGAGAAATATATCATATCAGTTTCTACATCAGGGTTTAACCAAAACAAGCATCGTCGAATCCAAACCATAATCACTTAGGGAGACGGTTCATTAACGGTATCACACAAATGGCTCAATGAAAACCTTTCCAAACTAATTAACCATTTAATATTACCTCTCTCTCTCTCTCTCTCTCTCTCTCTCTCTACTCTCTCCTACTACCTACCTACCTACCTACCTACCCCTACCCTAACCTAACCCTAACCTAACCCTAAACCCGTAAA